GGACCGTTAAATAGATGGTGAGAACATGATAATAAAATCAAAGTTTAGATTAAGATCTGAAGTTTCCTCATTACGCAATACATCAAAACCATTATTTATTGAATTTGAGAATGAAACAGCGAGAAACGATCTACTGTTGGCAACAAAAGAACTTTCAACTATAGAGACCTACAAAAAGGTATGTATATATATACAACCTGATTGCACTCCTAATAAGCAGGCTGAACTTGCAAAATTAAATAATGAAAGAAAGGAAGCACACGAGAATTTAAAAAGCTATAATAACCATAATAGTATATATACATACAATCAATATTTCAGATAAATACAGATGGCCGGGGCAAGAAGAAGACACAATTTGTCTTATCACCAACCCCATTGACTCCGTAAAATAAAAATTATTACTTACAGTATATGTAATTGTAACCAGTATATAAGAAATAAAATTTTCTGGTAATAAATATATAAAAATAGTAAAAATATATAAAAAGAGTAATAAATACATAAAAAGTACAATTTTGCAACATAAAACTTGTGAAAAAATTTATATTCTTTTGAAAAAATCAAATAAAAAATTACAAATTAGAAAAAATATAATGTTGGTTTAACTCTTATATATATATACATATATATATATACATATATATATATACATATATATATATATATATATATATATATATATATATATATATATATATATATATATATATATATATATATATATATATATATATATATATATATATATATATATATATATATATATATATATATATATATATATATATATATATATATATATATATATATTATATATATATATATATATATATATATATATATATATATATATATATATATATATATATATATATATATATATATATATATATATATATATACAGGGCCGGCGCTATTATTTTTTGGTTTTTGAGATAGCTAACTTCCAGACATGGAGCAAACTCCAAACATATATATATTTATACTATGTCAAATAAGGATGCTTTGCAAAAAATTGCGATAATTGGAGCTTGGAAACAACATAGCCCCAAAAATTTTGTCTAGCCTGCCCCAAACGTGAGAGCAACAAGTTGATAAAATATTTTTTGTACTATTTTTAACTAGACTAATATTCATCGCTAAATTTTAAGTTTTATAGTACAATTTCTTAGTGTTCAAAAACTATAACAATATAAAATTTGCAGCCCCCTCAAATTGAGGGGGGAATAAACATTATATAGTCATAATTTTTGTACGCGAAAGTAAAAAAAAAAATATTTTAAAAAGGTAAATAGTTGGTCAGAATACATAATTTATTCTAATAGTTTAGAAAAGCAGATTGGTCTGTAATTGGATACGCTAGTAACATCTCCGGATTTGAAAGCAGGGACCACCTTTGCAAGTTTAAGTTTATCAGGAAAAATTCCCTGTTCCAGAGACCTATTAAAAATATGCATTTTTTAAATTAGCAAAAACTTTCTACCAGACAAATTGTTTATAAACAACTACTATAGAAACGTCATTTAATGAATTAAAAATTTAAAATGACCAAATATCAGAGAAAATATCTTTAAATAATATGTGTGTACAAATTCAATATTGTGTTGAATTAAATTTATTAAAAGTACTGTAATTCATCTTTGAATTTTTTTTTTTATTTTGCATTTCATAGCAGTACTACCCCACATTTATACAAAAAAAAAGTGGATACAACCAGAGGCAATTCTACGAATATAATGCGGGGGGAGGGGGGGAATCTTTAAAAAGTTTCAACTAGCTTCTAAAAAAAAAACGTCCTCAAAACGAAAATTTAAACAACTGAATTGTGTCAAATAACCGACTAAATTCGTAAAAAAACTAACTATAACTTGAAAATCACTTTCTTTGGGGGGTGTAACCCCCCATCGTCCCTACCCCCGAAATTCGCCTCTGAATACAAGGCGTTATAAAATTTTACTAAGTGCCAATTTTCAAATGTTATGGTGATAGTAGTGGTTAACCAAACAAAAAATTATTAGATACAGGGTGCAAGTTTCCACTTTGTTTAATAAGGTTTAAAAACTTAATCTGAAAACACAAAAGAAAATTCAAATTTTTACAAATATGCAAAAATAAGCAATTGAGCATTATGCTATGTCTATAAAATTTTGCGTTAAGGTTTGATTTTAGTTGCTTTTTTGACTGGTTTGATATTATTTTTTTGTCAAATTGTTGGAACTAAAGTTTCTGTTAGTTTTTATCTGAGCAATCTTTTCAGTGAAATTTATTTAAATTTACGAAAATAGTTTATTGTTGTGAAGAAAACAATATCTTGTTTCATAACTGGTAAATCTACCCGTTTATTGGAGCCTCTTAATGTTGCATTTTAAAAAATATTAGAGGAAATACATTGTCAATTAAAAACTTTTTGTTCAAAAAAAATACAGACAATTACAAAAAAAAAATCTCCTTTGTTCTAACTTTGTTTACTTATAAACATATTTGTCAGGTAAATAGTAACTTAGAGGTTTAGTGGTTTTAAAAAAGAAAGAGATTTAGATGTAAGAATTATCCTCAATCGTTTGCCAGATGATGATAAAAACATTAAAACAGTAGTCGCCGAGGAGAAGTTAATGTACTTTAACAATTGTATCGTGTTGATATCAAGGGGGAAAAAAAATTACTTTTGACCTTGAAAAAGGTTTTTTTTAGAGGATTTTTGGGCAAGATGTAAAAATTTTCCACTTGCATAGTCTATAAGATGTTCCATTTGCATAGTCTATAAGATGTTCCATTTGCATAGTCTATAAGATGTTCCATTTGCATAGTCTATAAGATGTTCCATTTGCATAGTCTATAAGTGAAACTGATGAAAATCTCTTTTTATACTAGTTCTTTTAAAACATAATCACTAAAACAAAACAAAAAACCAAATAGTTGTTTGTTATGAAATAATATCATTTTTTTAGCAATGTTAAATTCATGTAAAACTAGACTGTTGCTTTTATTAATTTTTCAAACAAAACAATGAATTTATGTATAGTTTTTGCTTTTATTAAAAACGTATTAAAAAATACCCTATTTGTGGAGTAACTTTGAATGACTATTTATATCGTTATCGATGTCTTTTTGGAGATACGCAAACCGATCTTCGAAATATTTAAATCATCAATTAAAACAGGTACTGTACCAGATAAATTAAAAACAGCTAAAATTATACCAATTTTTAAAACAGGCGAAACATCTTTATTAAATAATTACAGACCGATCTCTATACTGCCTACTTTCTCTAAAATACTTGAAAGAATAGTTTACAATAGATTATACGGATATCTCCTTCAAAATAGCCTCTTAAACAATAAACAATTCGGGTTTCAAACAAAACACTCAACCGAACATGCCATTTTAGATCTTGTAAATAGCATGAGTGATTCTTTCGATAAAAAGCAATTTGTATTAGGAACTTTTATAGATTTATCTAAAGCGTTCGACACAGTTAATCACAATATCTTACTTGAAAAAATGGAAAGATATGGTGTTAAAAATATATCCCTTGACTGGTTCAAAAGTTACCTGAGTAGCAGAAAACAATGCGTTGTTACAGATCATAATAAATATTCAGACCGACTAGAAATAAAATGCGGAGTTCCCCAAGGTTCCATTCTGGGTCCCCTTTTATTTCTAATATATATCAACGATCTTCCAAAAGCCCTAAAAAAACTTGATGTAATAATGTTCGCTGATGATACAAATTTATTTTACTCATCGCCGTCTATAAGCGACCTTTACGAATCTATGAACACTGACCTCGAAAACCTCAACATCTGGTTTAAAGTTAATATATTATCTTTGAATACAGATAAAACAAAATATATCTTGTTTCACTCCAACCGTCTTAAAAACTTTATACTAGACACTCTACCTTCACTAAAAATTGATAACATAAACATCAAAAGAACTGAAATAACTAAGTTTCTTGGAATAATTATTGACCAGAATATTAATTGGAAAGCCCATATTAATATAATAAACACAAAAATATCAAAAAGTATCGGCGTACTCTACAAAGCCAAACCTATGCTTTTCCAAGACAACTTAAAAATTCTCTTCTTTTCTTATATTCAAAGTTACCTAATATACGCTAATATTGCATGGGGAAGTACCCATAAAACTAAATTAAGTTCACTCTACATACATCAGAAACATGCATCGAGATTAATTTATAATAAAGATAAATTCACTCATGCCGACCCTTTACTTAAAAATTTGAATGCATTAAATATCTATCAAATAAATATTTACCAAAATATCTTATTCATGCTAAAATACAAACTCGGACTTGTTCCGAAATACTTTACTGATAGCTTTTTTCATATCAACGCAAACAAATACATCACACGAGGAACAGGCAACTTCACCCTGCCTTTAAAAAAAACAAAATTCTCGCGATTTTCTTTAATATACCGTGGCCCATACTTACATAACAAAATAATACTTCAAAATATGGAACTTAACTATTTAAATTAATATTATGTAAAAATTTTTTATTTAAATATTATTTTGAATTTGAATTATGTAAGAGTCAGCTTTAGCCCCTTATTTATTTTAATAAATTTAAAACATTTTCAATAGTAAAAGAACTGAAATTAAAAATATCTCGAAAACGTGTAAGTAAAACCTGGTTTTACTATATATAGAATTCGGATATAGAATTAATATAAATTTTTTGTTTTTGTGACGCGTCTTTGCTCCTCGTATATTGGTTAAAAAAGATTGTTTTAAATGAAAATATTTTAGATTACATTATTTAATCTTCAATTTATAAATAAATTCTATTAACAACATCGAATAAGATTAAATAAACTTTGTTTAAAATAAAAACGTTTAACGCAGTTAAACTTTGTTAAACCAAAATAAAAACGTTTAACATATTTAAAGTAAAAAAACAAAAATGTAAAAATAAAAAAATGTAAAAGTAAAAATAAAAGACGTCAAATAAATCTGTTAAAAAAAAGTCCTTTAATGATAACGTATTTTATTGAAAAGTAAAAGATATCTTAAGTATTTGATCAATTTACTTTTTAGAAAAAATTTATTTTCATAACACTTTTTAAAAGGTTAGCATTTTACGTAGTATACTCGGGGCTTTTTTTACGGGGCACGTTTTCACAGTTTTGCTTCTTCTTCTTGTTTTAGAGACTATTTCAATGCAAATATCTTTAAACAACTCTTTGACCAGTTTAACATCGTTTTGCGCAGAAAGTTCATACATTTTACAATCATATTTGTTAGCAAGTTTTATGCAGTCAGTGAGTGATACTTTACGATTAAGTTCGTCTTTATTGTTAACAACTAAGACTATTGGAGCATTCTTAAGAGTTATTTCTTTTGCTCTAATAATAAAATCTTCTGCATACATAAATGAAATTAAACTGCTGGTGCTTACCATAATTACAACACCATGTGCCCATGAAGTAACTGCTTCGTTCTAAAATATTAAAACAACACATAAATAATATTTTTTTGCTTATGAAATTAGTAATTCTTTAGTTTAATGTGGTTCAATATTTGACTCATAAACAAAATATAAAAACTTGCAAAAAAAATGGGTATAAGGTGTAAGAGTCTACCCTATCCCTAGGTAGTTGGCCCTGTTTTTTTTTTGGTAAGTTTTAAGAGGTTTTTCCTGCATTTTGAATAAAATATAGCTGTTCAAAAAATACTTTTAAGATGATAAAAGTAGTTCTGGGATAGAAATTTCATTATGTACTAAAACACATAAGTGCAAAAACAATTGTTTGTCTATTTTCATTATAAAAATTTGACGGACCACTTCATGACAAAATTTGATCTACAAATTAAAAAAAAAAAAGAAAAGCATAAAAGGACAAAAAATTTTGACTTGAAGAAAAACGCAGAAATCATTAAAAAGTGGAGATTTTTTAAACTCAATAATCTTATCAATTTCAAATGCGGTGATTTTTTCATTTTTGTATATCCCAATACTAATTTTTAAAAAGTAGCTAAAATTAATCGCTAATAACTGCATTTTTGAAAAGTATATATTGAATAGCTTATAAATTCAAAAATCGTTTGAAATCTAGAGGATTGCTGAAGAATGCTTAGACTCTTATTTATAATTAAAAAAACTCTTGAAAAAGATTTTTATGAGATTTAATGATATTTTTAATTTATTTTTTCCAAAATATCGTATTGTTCATTAAGTCTATAAATTCAAACAATACCAAAGTATTAAAACATTGGACTATTTACTTAGCCATCTGAATTCTTTTAAACCACTTCGGGCATTTATTTTTGAAAGTTACATTCTAAATGTCTTTTAAATGTTTTGTAAACGTCTTTTAAACTTTCTTTACGATAGAATGTTTAGAAGACGTTTAAAAGACGTTTAAAATACATTTAGAACGTAACTTTTAAAAACAAATGCGCTTTAACAGTTTTTTTGAAAAAAAAGTAGTTACTTCTGTTTGTAAACATCCTCGATATAACAACTTTTCAGAATATATTTATTTTAATTCGATTATGGAGAAAATATGAAATCTCAAGTAATTTTTGCGCCTAATGTGAACAGAAAAACATATTTATCCTTACGTCTAATTTAACCACGTTACTTTTTTACTATTTCATTAGAATAAAAATATGCTTACCCTTCCGTCCGATTCAACAATATTTTGTTTGACTTTTTTATCCGAATAAAAATCTTCTTTAAGATGAACAGTTAGATCTTGAGAAAGTGAATTTCCAAATAATGTTTGAATCAATGCTAAATTTAAAAGAATTCATAAAAGTATACATTTTTGTTGTATTTTTTATTATTTTTATATTTTTAGTATATTTTTATTTATTTTATTTGCTCTAGTGTGCATTTAATAAATTCAGTTTTTATTTTTGTTGTATTTTTTATTATTTTTATATTTTTAGTGTATTTTTATTTATTTTATTTGCTCTAGTGTGCATTTAATTATTTTTATATTTTTAGTGTATTTTTATTTATTTTATTTGCTCTAGTGTGCATTTAATTATTTTTATATTTTTAGTGTATTTTTATTTATTTTATTTGCTCTAGTGTGCATTTAATTATTTTTATATTTTTAGTGTATTTTTATTTATTTTATTTGCTCTAGTGTGCATTTAATTATCTTTATATTTTTAGTGTATTTTTATTTATTTTATTTGCTCTAGTGTGCATTTAATTATTTTTATATTTTTAGTGTATTTTTATTTATTTTATTTGCTCTAGTGTGCATTTAATTATTTTTATATTTTTAGTGTATTTTTATTTATTTTATTTGCTCTAGTGTGCATTTAATAAATTCCGTTTTTATATATATTTTACTTATACTATATTTTTATTTTTTTAATTTTTTATTTTTCATTATATTTATTTAGAATTTCATTTTAATTACAATAACTTACATTAAATAAGTAAAAAAGTTAATAACTTTAGAAATCATTTTTTATAATTTTTACTAATGTTATCATTTATATTTTACATTTTTGTTAAAAAAAATATATTTAAGTTTATATAAAAAGTATTAGCAAACAGAGGTATAGGTACCTCTGTTTGCTAATACTTTTTATAAAAACAAAATATATTGTTTCAAAATACTGTTTGAAATTGAAATCATACTCATTTAAGTATCTAGACTTTATTTATGGAAAATATTCTCAAACATTAAAATATATTCAGAAAATAAAAATTAAACCACTTTAGATTTAAAAACAAGTCTAAACAGTTCTTTTTACTTAAGGATTTAAAATGCTGGATGTAAAATTTTTCTTATATATATCCATTTATTTATTACTATTATTATAAATATAAAAATATGATTTATATAATTTTATATTTATTGAATTTACTTTTTTATAATTTAATTTTAATATTACATATAAGTAAACATTTTATTTCACTTTAATTGTTTATAACATTGCTTTATTATTTTTTTATTTTTATTTTGTTGTAAAATGGTGTTTAAAAAGCAAACATTATGATTAGGGAATTAGGTTTTTAATACTGATAGTAAAAAGGTAAAAAGTAATACAGTAATTCAAAACTCTTACTTGTTTTTCCTGTTCCTTTAAATCCATTGACTGTTAAGCGAATATTATAACCAAGGGAATTAAGACTCATTGTTAAATGTTTGTGGTATTAAAAGTTTTGTCGATGCTTTTATGTTTTTAAACAACTAAGGTTTTTTCTCTTGCTTTAAAAATTGATTTAGAAACCGAAACTTTATAAAGAACGTCGGAATTTTATATGGAGCACGATCAGCAACAAGATATATTTGCACTACAAGGCATCATTAAGTTAATGAAGTAAGATTGATATTTCGTTATGTAAACAAATCGTTAATCAAAAATAAACCCAAAAACCTTTTCGCTTTGTAGTTTTTTTTATTTGTTTGCTTTTTTTGTTGTTGTTTTTTTCTTTTGTTTGAACTTGCGCCTGTATCAGGTTTAAAGTCTTTATGTTTAAAGTTTCAACTCACGCGTTTGTTGCCACGTCAACAGTTTGCGCTATGACTACCGTTTACTTGCGTCAAACATTTCAACTAATAGTGACGTACTTTACAGAAAAACTTAAATTTACAAAGGTCTGTTTGTTTATTCCGGGACATACAAGTTAGTTAACTTTTTATTAAATATTTAAGATTACTTTGATTCCTTTAAAAACCAACATCAAACAAGATAAAAAACTGCTTGATTAGCTGATAAAAGCTTTAAAGAGCTTATACAAAAATTAGGCTATTAAAAATTAAGCTTATAAAAAATTTATAGTAAAGTGTCTGTTTTTTACTTCTCTTTGATGAAATCATTTTGCAGGTTATAAGTAAATATATATTTCATAAGTTATTTTTAAATCTTCTTTTCTTCAGAAGAATTTCTTTTAACTATTTAGTAATTTAATAATTACGGATTTCTTAAATCAAACAACTTTATTAGCATCTGCCCAGTGGGCACCGGACCTAAAAGATACGTCTTTTGAACGTTAAAAAGACGTCTAAAACGTGTATAAACCGTTTAAAAGACGTCGTTTAAAAGACGTTTGTGCCCACTGGGTGCAGTCAAATAAAAAGATCTGGTGTGGGAAATTAAATGCAGTCAAATAAAAAGATCTGGTATAATCTGGTATAAAAAGATCTGGTATAACCTGGTAAAAAGATCTGGTATAATCTGGTATAAAAAGATCTGATATAATTAAATGCATTCAAATAAAAAGATCTGGTCTGGGAATTAAATTAAAGCTTTACCTGTGTTTTTAATTATCTTTCTTTACCAGTGTTTATGAGTGATATTATAATTATAATTTCTTTTTTTACCAATTATAAAATCTTTTTTAATAATTAAATGAATATAAAAATTTTTATAACAACCTATTATTATTTGTGAAATTTCTATAAAAATAGATTTTTATAGAAATAAGTTAAATAGGACCCATGTTGACAAAGATTATCTGAACAGTATTCGGGATATTATTTGAATTATTAGGGATTAATATTCAAACATCTTTGGGATTCAAGTCAAAATAACTTAGGATTCAAACCCAAATATTTTTACGATACATTCTCAAATATTTTTGGAACAAGATGTGTTAAAAAAACAGTTGCGTATTTAAAGTTTTAGGAAAAATACTATAACAAAATACTGTTTGTGGAACTCGCTGGTACTCCAAAAATAAAAAAATGCTTGAAATTTTTCTAAGGTGTTTTTAGGAAGAAGGATCGTCGATAAATTATGCAATAAATTTTTGAACATAAAAAATATTGACTTTGTTTACTAAAATTTATTCACATATGTGAATAAATTTTAGTTTTTATGTAAAACGTAAATATTACTTTTTTATTAATACAACGATCCAAAACCTTTTGTTTTCAACTATTTCAGGAAGTAATAAACGACGGGGTATAAAATTATTTATAACGAAGTACCATGTTCAAACTGTACAGCGTTCAACTTATCAAAACGGATATTTTTATCATTTTATGAAAACCGTTATATCCGTTATATATATATATATATATATATATATATATATATATATATATATATATATATATATATATATATATATATATATATATATATATATATATATATATTTATACTCAAAATAAAAAAAATTTAAATGTTTTTTTTTTATATTTATCTGTTATTGTTTTATGATTTAAATTAAAATCATAACTATTTAAAACCATCAAAACCTTAAAAGGCAAGAAAAACGAAAATGCAAAAAATGTGAATAATTTTATTAAATAACTAAAAAAACTTATTGTAATTTTTCATTCATTTCTTAGTATATATGATTTCATTTATTTATCTTGTAAATATGACTACAGTGGGCGTTTAACAAAATGCTAAATCAAATAAATGTCCAAACGAAAATTGCGAAACTAAATATCCGAGTTATTTCTCAAAAAATGTAAAATTAAAAATAAAATTAATGTTTTTCAATTCATTTGTTTAAATAAATTTTATTACAAAAAAAAAAATACTTTTGTAAAATATATTTTTAAGAGGTTTAAAAACAAATAGTTTTATATTTTAACAATATTTGATTATCGAACAAATTTTTTAATATGGAGCTAAAAATATAGTAATTTATATTTTATATTTATTAGCTCAATTAAACACCATAAAGCAATTAAATATAGATTTAGGTAATATGAGACTCTACCTAAGTAATATATGAATCTAACTTGCTAATATGAGAATTCTAAACAATTTTTAAGATGTGAATAATAAAGTTCAAGTTGCTTTGTATTTTATGAATTTACTTTATGTTGTAGAAAGCAGTAAGATTAATTTATACGCAGTAATTAGCGGCTCTCATCTAATTAAAACACTATTTTTTGGGTTATTAAAGTATTATTATTACCCATGAAAAAATCTTTGGCGCGAAATTTTGATGTTGAAATACAGATGGAAATGCATAGAAACATTTATTTCCGACTTCGTTTAAAGATGTCATTTTTTTGTATTATGAGCATGTCAAACTACCCACTGCATTTTTATTGAAATTACCTAAAGTACTAAAATTGGGGTGATTTTAATTGCTTTTTGAATAAAAGCAGAATTAAGTAAAATAAGGTTATATTTTAAAAATACTAAATATCTTTCTGTATTTTAAATTCTAAAAATTTGTATTTTTTTTTTTGTTTAATGGTTTGAGTTAATCAAATTTAAAACATTAAGAATTATGTTTGTTTTTTTGTTTGTTTGTTTTTTTTTTTTTTTTTTTTTGCGTAAAGCAAAGAAGTATTGTTGAAATAAAAAGCAGCTTAAAATTTGATTTTTTGATGAGAAGTTTTGTTAATAAAGAATCTATTATACTCCATTAATTAGTTTCAATCAGCAGGTTTGTATTTCTATACTTAATTAATGTTGTTTTTTTGAGCTAATTTAAATTGTTCATATTATCATGTGGTCCGGGTAATATAAGCACTTTCGCTACTTTATTAAAAACCTCTGACTTTTTACCCAGTAGGGCAGGTCGATTTTGGAATCAGAGGTTTGGTAATAAAGAGATATGATTATTATGTGAAAAAAATGTGCTTTGTAAAATTTTTTTTGTTTTAATGAAGTTTAAGTTGAGCTAAAATGATTTTAAATATTGATATATTTAATTAAAATTTTTTTTACTACGCTATCTTTACCACTAACATTTTCATACAAATTAAAGATTGCCGCGCTTACGCAAAGTAAACAAATCCTATAATTGTGTGGGTAAAAGAAAATTTTAGAGGACGAAAAATAATGTTTTCAAACAAGCGTAAAACACGAAATTGCACAAAAAGCAAGTTTGGTGGAAGTCCTAACCCTCTTGCAAATACAGAACCACCCACAAACAGGTTATTCGAGATTTTTATTTTCTTAACAATACTTATCCAAGTTATTGCTTTAGCGTAATTGTAAAACTTATAGCTGAAAAAATAATCATGATATGGAAAAAAGTTAACACTCGACTACCATTAATGTCCACTTATTGTGAAGAAAATAAAGTCGGAGTACTTCTAAACATATCTAGGTTAATTAACCGAAGTAAATGCAAAGTATTAACAGAAAAAAACACTACTAAAAAATTGGATAGGCTTTTTGATATCAGTTCCTGCACATGTGATCTTAAAGTTGTTCTTTGTGATGATAAAAATATAAAATGTAGTCAAGATAATTGTCCTGATACTCATATTTTATGCACATATAGTCCAGATAAAAAAGTGCTATCTTATTTTTTAATAATAGATAAATAAAATAAAAATATTTTTAAATAAAATTAACATAAGTATATTACTAATATGATAAAGTTTAATACTATAAATTTCATATGCAGTTGTTCAATATTATTAAATAATATTTAGATTCCTGTAAAAGAAAGGTTATATTTGAAAGACCAGAGAGAAAAGTCAGGTCCAAAAGGATCATTTCAACTTGGCTCAGTAGATCGTGAATGGTCTAGAAAAGAATCTTTAAAGAAACATAAAACTGAATATAAAAATCTGGAAGAATCATTACAAGAAGAAAAATTTAATTTACTTCCAGAAATAGTATTACCAGAATCTGATTCAGAACCTGTCATTTCTAGCTCTAGTGAGGTAATTAAATAATAAATTGAAATTTGGTTCACTATTTTATATTTTTTTAAATTTTTTTTTTTTTTTTTAACATATCACTTTTTTAGATTAAATTTTTTTGTTAATGAACTTTATAACTTTTCTTTTAGATATGGAAGCCTGAAAGAAATCCATCGGGAATTTACAATCTTTGGAAGTTTCTAAAGTTTGCTATTGAATTGATCAGGAACGATATAGGAAGTTTGATTGGAGCTGCATTAGGAAATGCTCTTATGCTCGATCTATCAGGACTGTTTAATGATCCAGCAATAATATCAACTTTAGTTTTAGACAAATCCAAAATAGACAGACAAAAAAAGTCAGTTAAAGTATTGTCAGACTTAAAATCTGTTGAAAATAACAGAGAGTTTATTTGCCTTGGTGTTGATGGTAAAATTGATAATGAAACTTTAGTTATAAGAGAAATAAAAAAAGAAGATGGTGAGGTTGTGTTAAAGAGATCAACAGAAAAAGAACATCACATGACTGTGATTAAAGAACTTCTCTCTAACCTTTACAGTGGGGAGTATCTTACTCACAAAGTTTTACCTCTTGTTGGAGCAACAGGAAAAAAGCAAGCTTAGTGTTAATATGAAGTTCTTGAAGAGTATGATTCTTTAAACACTTTAAAAGCAGTTTTGGTAGACAATACTTCAACAAACACAGGTCATAAAGCAGGAATGGTTGTGGAGTTAGAGAAAAAACTTGGAAGAAAAATTCAGACTATAGGCTGCAATCAGAATGAGCTTCATTTTAGATCTTTGTTTAAAAAAATTGATGGAGCAACAAATTCACCAAACCATTTTGCTGGACCAATAGGTAAAATGGCAAATATCAATAATGAGCTTAAATTAGTTGTTAATTTTAGTGTTATTAAGTCTTCAATTATTATTTTAGAAAAAGAAATTTTAGACTTTAAGTAGTGACCAAAGGCTTTTATATGAATATTGCATTGGAATTGCCACTGGAAATATGAGTGTTAAATATCCAAGTTGGAAAATTAGTCCGCTTAATCATTCTCGTTGGTTAACATTGGCAATCCGGTTGATGTCTTTATATGTCAGAGTAGTAGTTCCTGATTCTGAACTAATTATTTTGGTAACTTATGTTGTCCAAGTTTATGTTCCTACATGGTTCCTCCATAAAAAGAGCAATAAGTTACACGAAGCTCCATCAATTATACATTTTATGATTAACCAAATCAAGCTCCAAGGAAAAGAGGTGCAAGATATTTGCTTAGCAAACTTAAGGTTCATTTCCTTTTTCTTACTTCCTGATAATATTTTGTACTCGATGTTAAAGTCAGAAGAAGTATATATAAGATCAAAAGCAGTTCAGAGATTTCTTGATATTAGAAATCGTAAAAAAGATGGCCAAGCTATAAGCAGAATCAATAAAATTCCAGAAGTTAACATTGATGCTCATATATGGTATAAGCTCATAAATATTTTTGATGAAGACATAGATGAACCAGCAACAACTCATAATTTTACTAATGAAGAGATTGCAGAAAAGTTGTCGTCTGGAGAAAAAATTGACCTCCCAGATCTTCCTTCACATTCACAGAGTGTTGAGAGATCTGTACAACTTGTTTCCATGGCTTCTCATACTGTTTTTGGAAAGGAAGCACGTCATAAGCATATTTTAGCAAAAATTTTAAGCTGAAAGCATATAAAGAGTTTTGTCTAAATGTTACTATGGTGAGACATATGATGATATTTTTTGATAATTTAAAAACTAATTTATTGCTACTTGTGTATGTAAAAAAAAAATTTAACAAAAATGTATAATAATTTTCGAGTTAGTCATTTCCTCGCGTGGTTGAACATTTTAAAAATAATTTCTAAATAAGTAAAAAAACCTTTTTAAAAGCTTTTTTTTTTATGAAATCATTTATATAATTTCATCTTTTGACAGTTATTTCAAAGGTTTTCAATAATCATTATTAAAATTTAACTTATTGGGTAAATTTAACTTATCTGAAATAATTAGGGTAGTTATATTATATATTCAATTATATAACCCAGGCGTCGGCAACTTATTTTATGTAGTGAGGTTTTTCTCACTACCTGAAATAATTAACTTTTTATTTCTTTTTTTATATGTAAACTAGTTGGGTCCTGAATTTATAATACAACCCTGCAATAATGTTATGCAGAAAGCCTTAGGACCCCACTTCGAAGCTAAAATCACTCATGAAGATACTATTTTAATTTCATTAAATTTTCCAGGATGTGTTTTTGGACAGTTTAGAAAAATCTCCATAATGCCAAACACTTAAATCCAAATAAAGTTGTAATTCGACCTGCCTTATTACCCAGTGGGCACGGACGTAAAAATCATTTTTTAAACGTCTTAAACACGTTTTAGACGTCTTTTGAACGTCTTTTAAACGTTTTGAACATCTTTTGAACGTTCAAAAGACGATCTTTTTAGGTCCGGTGCCCACTGGGTAAGAAAAAACTTTAGATGCCCAAATATCTTAGTAAATCATGATTAGCGATCTCTAAAAATTGTTTATTTGCTTATTCAAAAGTTGTTTTAAAATTTTGAATCTAGCATAATTAAAAATTGTGCTAAATTAAAAATTTTAATAACTATTAATTATTATTTAAAAAATTATTAATTATTCCTGAAAATATTACATTTTCGCTTGAGGTGCTCATAATACGCTTATCTTCCCTAATATTTGTTTAAAGTTATCGCAAAAATTAATAATAATATTCAATAATTTCAGTTAGCGAAAAAAAAAGTTTGTTTAATTATATTATGCACTTATTTTTTTTCCGATAACTTTATTTTATCTTTTTTCTTATACTTTATATTTCTTATTCTACTGATTATTCAAGATTGCAATATCGAAAATCAAAATTTGCAGAATAAAAGTTTTTATTTCAAAATATTGGTTTTATAATATTATAAAATATTAATATACTGTTTAGTAAAGTTTAGTTTTAAAATAAATCAGTAAAATAAATTATTATAAGCATTTTTTGTAATTACAAAAGTGTAAGAAATTACAAAAATTACAACTGTTAGTCAAAAACGGACGTTTAAGAAAAGAATCGAATTATTTGTTGCTATATTAATTTGGTTAATTAAAGACGCTGCAACAAAAATATCGTTCTTTATAATTATTAAAAATTTGCAGTTTTGATCTTTAAAATACTGTTCTACTCTTTTAGGTGATCGAAATTTTAATAAATTTATATGTAAATATAAGTAAGATGTAAATATTTTTATTGCATCATTTCTCAAGTTGAAACCACAGTAAATAAACCGACAACTGACAGCAGACAAACAATTTTAAAATAAAATACTTAATCAAATTTTATGGATTTTTTTTTGTAAATATTTATTTAACTTAAACTTTTGTTTGATTTTTTTCCAAAAGTATATTTTTGACAAGCAGTTGTAATTTTTGCATATTCTTACACTTTTATAATTACAAAAAATACTAATAATTTATTTTATCAATTTACTTTAAAATCAAATTTTACAAACAGTATATTAATATTTTATAATATTAAAAAAACAATATTATCTTCTCAAATAATAAACAAAAATAAAGCAGCCCACTTGACACATTTTCTGGCTAACGTCATTGGTGTAAGTGAAATAAAAACATACGTAAATTTTTATTCTTTAAACCTCGATTATCTACATATTAATCCTAATTAACCATCAGAATATTAAAGAGGATATAAAGCATAAAAAAGAATATAAAATAATTTCTTGGAAAGAAATTAAATGCAAAATACAATTTAAAAAAATATTTGCTTGCGCTTAAGTTATGATTAATGTTTGTAATAACGTGAAACAAATATTAAATTGACTTCCTAAATGTGTTTAATAGTAGAGCAAGATAATAGAGTTTATGAATAAAAAAATACTAACTGCTATGTTTTTAGCTGATTATTAAAAACCAATATCAAAATAAGTAGTAAAAAATATATTCAAATTATTTTTTTTTTATAAAACTAGCCGTAATATATGTTCGATAATCAAATATCGGTAAAATTTTTTTTTTTTTTTTTTTTTTTTAGTTAGTTTATTTTGTCGTTTTACACATTTTACAATGTTATCTTTAAATTCGAATAAATATATATATAATTACAAGCTGACAGGGGCAAGTAGAAGACATAAAGTCTTATCATCAAGCCCTTTTGTGAAATAGAGAAATATAAAATTTCTAAAATTCCAATAATATAAAAAAGAGTTAAATTAAAAATTTTGAAAAAATAAACAAACATTCAAACAAAATTAAAATAAAAATAAAAAAATTTAAAGAGTTTGAAATAAAGTAAAAAGATTGAAAAAAATTAAAAAGTTTAAAATAAATTAAAAATTAAAAAAAGTAAAAATTAGAAAGAAAAAAAAAATAATAATAATAATAATAATAAAATCTCGAAATAAAAAAATAAAAATGTATACAATGCGTAAATTAAAAAGTTTGAATTTTTTTTTACAAATCAGTACATATACGTATACATATTCAATACAAAGCGAAGTATATATTCAAAAATATTTATATATTAAAAAGATTCCAAACGTTATGTAGATTTAAATTCATTTGTTAGTATTTATTAAAAAAAGTTAAAAAAAAAAACAGTCAAAGAGAAAATCAAACAAGAAAGATATATATGTATATATATATATATAAAAAAAAAAAAAAAAAAAAAAAAAAAAAGCTTTTTATCAAATTTATCAAAAAAATATTATTTTTAAAAAAATGAAAGAATGTATATAATGTTTGAGTTTAGTAAGTGTTTTTTTATAGTTCTTTTGAATATATCAATAGATTTTATTTTTTTCATATTTTCGTCAAGAACTGACTTCCACAAGCGTGGCCCCCGACATGTAATTGAGAAGTCAGATTTTTTGAGTGATGTTGGTGGGATGTAGTAATTATTTATTGAGTGTCTTGTTTCATATTTATGGTTAATTAGAGAGAAACCTTTATAAAAATATTTTGGAATTAGTTCATTTTGAAGTTTAAACATAAATAACAAGTTATGGTATATATTTAGTTCGTATACGTTTAGCGCATTAATTTCCTTGAGTAACGGCTTGGCACTTTCGTACCTATCTGCGCCCAAAACTAATCGACTTGCTTGCTTTTGTTTAGTATAAATATTTTTTAGGAAAGATGAATGATTGTTTGCCCAGGCAATATTACAATAGTTAATATGACTATGTATAAATGAAAAGTATAAGTTTTTTAAACATATTTTATTCAAAAGATGTTTTGTCCTGTACATAATCCCCACAGTCTTTGAAACTTTGTTCTCGACTAACTTTATTTGGCTTTTCCAATTTAAATGTTCATCGAAATTTATTCCTAGTATTTTCATTGAAAAAACTCTTTTTATTTTAATATTGTTAATTGTTAGTTCTGGAAGTTTAAGTGGAAGGTTCTCGGATTGAGATGGTTTAGCAAACAAAATATATTTAGTTTTTTCAATATTTAATGATAGTTTATTTGCTATAAACCACTCATTAAGATATATTAGTTCAGCGTTTACATAATAAAAAATATTTTTTAAATTTGAGTCAGAAAAGAAAACATTAGTGTCATCAGCAAAAATAGTATAATTAAGTATTTTTGAAGACAAAAAAATATCATTGATATAAACTAAAAACAATAAAGGTCCAAGTATTGATCCTTGTGGAACTCCGCAACTTATTGATTCAAATGGGGAGCATGTTAGATCATATGGTACACCTTGTTTACGGTTTTCTAAATAACATTGAAGCCACTTTAAATTAGAGTGAACTACTCCGTAACTACGTAGTTTGTAGATAAGAATCTTGTGGTTTACAGTATCAAATGCCTTTGATAGATCTAGAAAAATTCCAAGTGTGTAACAATTGTTTTCAAAACCTTGTAAAATTTGGTTCGCAAGATCAATTACGGCATGTTCCGTAGAATGGTTTTTTCGAAAACCAAACTGTTTATGATAAAGAATATTATTTTTTTCAAGATAATTGTACAGCCTGTTGAACATAATACGCTCTAATATTTTGGAAAAACAGGAAAGTATGGAAATCGGTCTATAGTTAGATATTATTGAGTCGTCGCCGCTTTTGTATATTGGAATTATTTTTGCTAATTTAAGTTGGTCGGGAAAAATGCCGTTTTTTAGGGATAGATTAAAAATTATGAAAAGGGGTTTCTCTATGATATCAGAGACAGCTTTTACAACATCAGGTTTAATTTCATCCAGACCCGCACTTTTATTTGATTTAAGCATACTAATCGCTTGCCGAAGTTCTTCAATCAAAAGCTCTGACTCATCCATGAAGAAATCAGATTTTTTCAAAAAGGATTTAAATGATTTTTTTCCCTCCGGAATTGCATCGGCTAGTTTTTTTCCTATATTTATAAAAAAGTTGTTAAATGTTTCTGCAATTTCTTTATTTACAGAAGCATCACCTAAATTGTCATCTCTTTGTAATCTTTTTGGGAAATTGTCTTTTTTTACATTACCCACGCCTGTTATTTCTTTAATTACATTCCAAGTTTTTCTTGCATTGCCAAATGTTTTATTAAGTAATGAAGAGTAGTAATTTTTTTTTGATTGCTTTTTTAATTTTTCAAAATAATTTTTATATTTTTTGTATTTTATTTCGTTTTTGTAGTTCTTTTTTTTAAGAAATTTTTGGTAAAGTTTTTGTTTCTTTTTTGACGACTTAATGAGTCCTTTCGTCATCCACGGACTAAGCAAACTTTTAGGTTTAATAATTTTTTTAAATTTTGGAAAGGCCTTTTCGTATTGCTTAGTGAACACGTGAATAAAAAATTCATAGCCGTTAT